TGTATTATGATTTCCTCTGATATAAACAGGGTGTGTATTATGATTTACTCTGATATAAATAGAGTGTGTACATCGCTGATTAAATGTATCTAGATCTCGTAAAATCATATAATGTGCAACAGTATGTTAACCCATGTACGTTAACACCCATCCATGCAGTATTTGTACATATTACCATCTTAATATTTCCACATAACATTTTCATATCTTGTATTCTGTCTATGTCACAATGTAAGGCCTACTTATCGCGAATGAGAGGGCCACCCACAGAGCTCACACTGGACAGGGGGTTCTTTCACTGCTAGAATGGGGTAGACAAGAAAATAGTACTGGAAATAAAATACACATACACCAAGACTCTCTAAAATGTTATTGTTGTTAATATGGACTAATTTATTAGATTTTGTTGAAGACCTGGTTATGGAAATCGGAAGAATCTTAATAATGACATTTAGTCCGTACTGTAGACTACAGGCCCGGACTTATAGATATTAACATAGTGAAATTACGATGATCGGATAATTTCAATCGTAGTTTAAACTACTGAGTAGGCGCATATTATATATAAGTGTTGGATGTTTTGCTATAATATCAGTAATTTTGACAAGTTAATATGAAGAGCATTCCATCTATTTTTAAATGAAATGAAAACTAAATGTCAGGCCTAACTTGAGTTCGAATTTCAGTTGTATTGCTTCTCACAATAAGGAAAGTCTGACCAATAAAACTGTGAAACTTTCATAAGTACGATAAGAATAATTTATTGACCGGTCGCAAAATGGATTAGTAAGACAAAGCTGTGTTATCAGTAGTTTTTATTTGATATTATTTGAATATTTACACATGTTTAAACTAAATCTAACCCAAACAAACTTGACTTTGGCGACGGGCAACTAGCAAAAAACGCACATGCTGGTATTTCAGGCGATGTTGCCTGATGTTGTAATTATACTATACGTAGGAGGCAACCAGGTGCTCGATGCCACATGAATTGCCTCTTGTAACATGCCCTTTACTCTCATAGTTTGGCACCTGTACATTAGATGTCTATGTTACTGTCTGCGAAAACGTACCAAAGCTCTGTCAATTGAAACCACTTTCTAAAAAAAAGAAAATATCCGTGTGATACAGATATACTTTCGAATAAAAATAATTAGTGAATAATAATGATCAAATAAACCAAATATCAAAGCAATTGTAGACCTGCAGTGCAAACTATTTCAAAAATGGTATGTAATAAAGTCAATGACACGAACATAACTTAGATAATAGTGCGTTTCTATGGAGAAGCAAGTTTAATAAATAGAAAATGCCAGTGTTTATTATTTATTTTATTCGATCTTTATATTATTGAGTGAAATATTTGTTTCTATCAAATACAATTGTCGTCATAAGTCACGGTTATATGTTGGTTCTGCAATTGGTGTTTCATTAATACTCATTAAAAATGAATTCGCTTTTTGAATATCTTTATCTATAAGTTCATGTAATTCTTTTGTATATGGGTCAAAAGTAAAAATGCCTTTGTGTTTTCGATGGAATTTGCCTTCAATATCACTCCGTACGCATTGGCGGCGTTCATTGGTAAACGTGATATTCAGAAAATTTAACATTCGCTGAATAACATTTAATGGGTCTTTTCTCATTTCTTCATAATGTACAACAAGGAATGGCTTTCCGGATTCAAACCAACTTTCGATTAAGCTTAACCAACCAACGTATTTTCTTTTGTTCCAGATTATCCAGTCCTCGTCTGTGGGATACAATAAAGCATTAAAATTTATATATTGCATTAGCTTACTCCATAATAATCAACTTATGCCACCTCAATATCAAGTCACACCACGGCACGCCACGTAAACAATCCGCGGGCCTAATGTAATTGTGTTTCCTAGACACTCGAACGCCGAGGCGTTTGGTAGGAAATGCGAACCATTTCACGCGAGGGACTTTAGTCCCGGGAGACTGTCCCCGTCTGCAGGTTTCTAGTTGATACAAGAGAACTGGTGATGGTTTTAGAACCATAACTGCCTCAGCTCAAAGATTGTTATGTAATACAGAGGAATGTGAAGGGAAATGTATTGTAATGTTACCTCTGTGTGATTTACAATATATCTACATTAACCATCACTGTGACGGAAAATATGGGAGTTGACTTAAATGACTGGTAAAAGCAAGGCTGGTCAAATTCTGCGAAATAGTAGTTAGAATTTCCAGATACGCAATCGACACATTGTGAGATATCAAAATATGGATGATAAACAGAAAGTGATATGCCAGAGATGTAGTTGGAATTGAAGCAAAGGAGTGACCTATTAATCCATGAAACATACTCACACATATCCGTACATATCCTGTCTTATTGTGTGTGGGCAAAGCTGTCATGTACACAATCGGAAAAATATGTTATTACTGTAAATAATTATGAACAATAAAAATGAAAATAAAAACTATGAACAATTAATAAGGAAAATATGTGATTTGCTGTACAGTTTCCAGAAAATTATTACAAGTCCAAGAAGTGCATACGAGTCGTCAAAACGTACAGTTTGGTGACAGAACCGAAATGAGAAGTCTAGAGTCACGGCGAATACTCTCTAGCGAGTCATCCCTCTTAAAACGTCATTACTGTGCCAATGACATTGAACATTGCTCTTCCATAAAGCAGCAGTTTCCATCTTCAAATAATCAAAATAAACTTGATACCCTGGCGAAGCATGTCTATTGTTTCATAACGACTGCCCCAGGGGATTTTCGTCTTCTCAATTTCTCAAGATAAACGTCCCAGGGTTGTTTTGTGTTCTAGAAGGACATGTTTATTGGCAGCATTTCTTGTATTAATTTCCATTGCACAAAAAAAGAAGAAGCAAATACTGTTACTGAAGCACAGAATTTGCATGAATTTTTCTCCCCGGCCATTCACGCAAACTGCAACGCGGTCTTTTACC